ATGGTTCCTGTGACAAAATGATCCAATCGCAATGTTTCTGCTTGGTCTTCCTTTTGTTCTATTCCATTTTCCTTCCTTCCCAGTTTTCTGTTTTGCTCCCAAACATTAAGATAGAATTTCATGCTTACTCAAATACTCAGCCCACCATACTCTTCTTTTAGCTTACTTCATTCTTTGGGAAGGGGGGGCATAATTTTTTTCTTAGTGTTCCTCCTACATTGTGAAACTGATCCTATGAATTACTGCTGCTATTTTGATTCCATTAAGTAGGGCAGTGGGATAATGTAAATAGCTGTTTTGTTATATGATATTGATTTAACATGCAGATCTTATTCTCTGCTTCTCTCACAGAATGCAGTCTCAATCAGCTATTCAATTAAAAATATATTGCACGGTTATCAACGGTTTGTGATTGTTGCTCCATGGATTCATGATCACTTTTGATTTTTATCTTTTCTTCCCTAGTTTTTGGCCCCTGACATCAAAACTCCCTTTATAATTGTTGCTGTCACAAATAATTTTACTGATGTGAATGGCAAGCAGTGATATGAATGAAAGTTGTAAGAATGTTCTTTCAGGACAGAGTTAAAAGAGTGCATGATTTCAGAACCCACAGCATTGCAATCAGTTGCAGGAATGCAATGGAGGATCATATATGAGACACTCAGTCCAAACAGTGATTGGAACTGGAATTGTAGCAAATCTACTAATGGAATAGTGATACGTTTTCTGAAGATGATTTTTTGAAAGCCCATGATTCCAAAGAGAATCTATAGTTACATATTTTTTTATTCACGAAAGAATTAATAGTCTAATTTAAAAAAATAGATATGCCAAAGAAGAAAATATTTGTAAACAAAAAAGTCACCCATTGCAAATTAAATGTACATATATTCTAGGCCAGGTGTCTTCAAACTTGACCCTTTTATGACTTGTGGACTTCAACTCCCAGAATTCCTCAGCCAGAAGTCCACAAGTCATAAAAGGGCCAAGTTTGAAGACCCCTGTTCTAGGCCATAACTGCAAATTCTATGCATGCTTGGAATATATTCCATTGATCACAAGAGCGTTGCCTCATAGGTTCATCTTATAAAATTAAGCTATAGTAAAATACCTTCAGTCTTTAGCTTTTAAATATGTTACAATTTAAATTGATAGGTTGAAGGAGAAATATCAAAGGAGAAAAAAAAGAAATATCAGTGTCTTTTTGGAAATGAAGAAGCTTCCCCATATAAATTTATAGAGAACCATACTGAGTTTTTGAAAACATTTTCTATATATAAGAATTCCACATTAGATATCAAGTATCCTGGGAGTTATTTCCATTCTGACCACATCTACCTTACACTGAAGAGTGAGGCTTAAAGACACCCATTTGTCAGAAAGAAAACCTCTGTATATATCTTATTATATATAATCAGGGCTTTTTTTCTCATAGAACGCCCAGAACAGAGTTCTGGCACCTTTTTTGGATGGAACCTTGTAGGGTAGGCAAGGCGGGTTGTTTGACGTGTGTGAGTTCCGGCACCTTTTTTTTTTTTTTAAGAAAAAAAGCACTGTATGTAATTATATGAGAAATATCACATAGGATAAAAGTATGAAAATAATTAATAAATTCAGGGCATATATGATAATAAATTAATAATAATAAATTTAATTTATATGCCGCCCTTCTCCCAACGGGACTCAGGGCGGCGCACAACATATTTAAAACAAAACATAAATACATTCCCCCCCGATAAAACCGAATTAAATCAAATTTTAAAGTTGTGTCTCTGTCAAATTGTTAAAAGATAAACCCCAAATAAAATCCTCCCTAGGTCAGGTCCGCTTGCTGG